TATTTGTTATTTAAATTAGCATTCGAGTCCGCCCTCACCTCCAGCTCCACCGATCATGTCCAAAATTTCTTGAAGAGTGAATTGGCTCAAAATTGGATTGATAAGATCCTTTGCAGCTGAGTCTACGGTATTGGAAATTAATTCTTGGTTTTCTTTGATCAATTCTGGTAAAGTTTCGTTTAAGAAAGCGTTGATTTCACTTGTGAGTTCTGGGTCGTTCATTATTCCATCGATAGCGAACTAAAATATAAAATTTAGGAAATATAAGAGATCCGCAAACTTTATAGTTGAAGCTACTACATAAATAACTTTATGTTTACCTTCATATCTCCAACAGTGAGCAAAAGTTTTAATTCTGCTAATTCAACGTATGTAAGATTTTTCAAACGCAATTTGATATGTCCGGATGCTGTGATTTGGTTTAATTGAATATCGAAAGGTCCTTTTCCGAATAATGGGTCAGCTGCAACCAAGTTTGCAATGAGGTCGTACAAACCTAAAAAAATAATAAAAAAAACATAATATATAAATGAATGTCTAATACCTTAATTAGTCATAATACTCCGTTTTGAACAAATATGCCATAAAAATGTATGAAAATAATATATTTGTCTATAATTACTAGAAGCAACTTTGTTATACATTGTCTAATCTATTCCTGAGAGGGTAAATCTTCTAGGAGTTTGATGAAACTTCTCATGGTGATAAGTTGACAGTCAAACCAAACCGCATAAAGTATTATAGTCTAAACCACTGCTCATAGGCCTATAATATTTTATGGGGTTTGGTTTGACTATCAACTCTATCACCATGCGAAGTTTCATCAAAATCCCAGAAGAGTAAACTTGAGGGTTTCCTTGTTAGTATGTAGTACGTTCATGCATCTTTTGTGCAATCGTTTTATTTTGATGAGAAATAGTTTATACGCATTATCAAAATTACACCTTAAATATTCCACTTACAAATTATACGTAATGAATATATATTTAATATAATTTACTAACCTTTAGCTTTAATGTGATCGATGGTGAGACTGTAATCTACTTTCATTAAAATAATGTTAATTTTCAAGCTTGTGAGATTGAAGCTTGAAAGTCCATCTACATGTAGGTTGTCAAGGGCGCCTTCAACACTGAAAAAATGGTTTAACATCAAAAACATCATTTTAATTCTAAAATGTATTATTAACACGTTAATCGACACATTAATATTAAAAAAAATCACGATGGCCACGGCTACATTATTAGATAAATTAGTTAAAAATGTATCAAAGAAACTTGATGTATGAAAGAAATTTTTTTTACTAAAATTTCTGAAAAGCACTATTTTTTATGTTAAACACTCACACATATGGTTTAACATCAAATATATTATTTTTATTCTAAAATGTACATTAATACGTTAATCGACACATTAATATTTAGAACATTTTTCATAATGACCACAGCAACTTTATTAGATAAATTAGTTAAAAATGTATCAAAGAAATTTTTTTTACCAAAATTTCTGGAAAGCACTATTTTTTATGTAACACACACACATATAGACTTACATGGCTCTATATTAAAACTTCTATTAGCTTTAAATCACGTATGTCAGAAATATTTATCTGACATGGTCTATGTAGAGAACTTCTTAGTGTCAGACACATATGAGTGGCATTAACGTATTTATTTTAATTTTACCTTATTTAAAAAACAATTGCAATCATTTGGCTAATAAAAATGTTTTTATATTCTACCTAAATTAACTGCTCAAAATTAAATTACCAAATTTTTCTATTATTGATTGAGTTTTAACTTACCTAAGTTGTTCTGGGATTGTGACATTAACATCCACATGCTCGGAATCCAAAGGATCCAAAATTTTTCCTCCGGTGAGTTCTCCACCTTCGCGTAAGATTTTGCGAAGACAATCGACGAGAGCAAATACTTGATCTTCGAGGGCTCCTCTATTAAGACCTCGCAATTTTGTGTATTTTACCACTAAAATATAATAGAATTATTATTTTCTAGTCAATATATAAAAAAATAAAAAGGCTATTGGGTACAATAGCTTGCTTGTTTGTTTTTCCCCTTTTTTTTCAATACTGGTTACACAGTCATAATTCTTAATGCAACTACTCGCTTAACATTAAATACTTTGATAACTTGAAAAGTAATAATTTTACAAAAAAATTCAAGATATTTGCATCAAAGACTTATCGCAGTAATACGTAGAAGATAGTAGATACTGTAAATTCTTCTTTCTTTTATTTAATTTCGGGTTTATTACTGTTAATAACATTTATAATTCATAATATATCAGTTTAATAGGAAATTCCACATAAAATTTAGTAATATTATTTCAAATTATAAATAAAGTTACACTTACATGCATCGATTTTATGATCCTGATAGGCTGCTGCGAATACAGCTAAGAAGCCGAGGAGAAACACTGCGGTTTTCATTTTCTAAAAAAAAATTGTATCAATAATCAAATTAATTTTATTTTCAAATAATTTTACTTTCGGGCACAACGTTAAAATATTATCACAACTAGATGAAAATATTGCCCTGGGATTTACTTGTAATAAAAAATTATGTCACAAACTAGAATAGAACAACTATTGGGATGCCTTTTAGTAATATTCTTGCTAGTGAATAATAGTATATATAGAATACAAATATTGATTAATTTTTATTAAAAACTTGATAAATTTGTAAAAGGTTAACGTTCTTTAATTTTTTATAAACTGTCGTTAATATGATTTAGCATTAAGTAAATTTGTATTTAATATTTCTGGGTCCAAATTCTCATCTCACCTGATTTTGTTTACACTCTTTGGATCACTAAAAGTATATGGATCTTTTGCATCTTCCAAGCTCTTTATAAGTACCTGAAAAACTTATAATTGTGACGAATAAGATAAAATTACGGATTATCAGATAAAGGATTAAAAATAAAATGGATTAAAAATGATAGATTGAGATTAAATCTTTCTTAAAATATAATTAATGCCATCATAGATAGCTTTGTGTTTCTTATTGTATTAACAGATTTATGATAATTTGTAAATTCTTTTTATCAATTGGTTATCGTATTGCATAATAGTTTACCGAGAGATTTTTTTAAATTAATAACGTAAAATTAGGAAGTTGCATTGCATTTGATAAATAATACTTAAAAAATACGCAAAAAAGAAGAAAACTTTCGATCAGGCCCAGAATTATCTATTTATAAAACTATTTTTTTTATTTGATTGATTTTAGATGAATCTCTAAGGAGTTATGATGGTCACCGCCAAAACCGTTTTTTGAAACAGGGTCAACAAGAACAGCTACAACTTTGAGAATATTTAATTTTTTTTCTGAAATTTTTGTTACTTCAAGTTAAAACATTGTATAATAATACCGTATCAATATTTTTGTAAAAAAATATCGTTTAATAACAAACAAAAAATACTGAAAATTCTCATTCTTTCGTGCCTCCAAGTACCCCTAACCCCTTAAATAATTATATGCAAATAATCTGTACGCATGGAATGCCAATGCAGATGCAGCACAATTTATGTACTTTATACATTCTAAGTGCTTTTTCATAATAGATTAAAGTCAATTAAAATCAGTTTTTATTTTTTAAAAAATTAATCCACATTTAACACCTTTAAGCATATAAATAAATTATAAATAAATGCTCATTCAATACATAAAATAATCTCCATTTGTACGAAAACCACAATTTGTACTACATTTTCAAGACTACATACAGGGTTCTAGTCTACCTTTATTTTTGTTATTAATATCTTATTATCGATAAAAAAAATATTATTAATAACGATGATGAGAAAAATTATCAAAACCATAACACAAGACATGTCGATGAGATCAGAAAATATTTTCGGCCAATGTCATATTTTATCTCAACCCTACTTGTAACACAAAGGTTACCTTTCATTGTTTTACTTCTATCAGGTGATGACCAAAACTGATAAAATAGATAAATAGAGTTTGACGTGTGCAACACTCGATATTCAGATACGCATTTTGAAGCCAGGTGGACGAATTTAATTTTGCTATTGCGATAAGTAGAAATAATAATACTGAATACTGACAATTGAAGTGTTTATTGAATAGATATTTTTACAAATCTTAGCAAATTTTCCTTGTAATAAATATTATTCAGCCAGAGGCAAATATGTGGTACTTTCCGAATAGTGAATAAACAAATTATATAGTTGATAAAATTTCCATTACTAACAAAATGATAAATGATAGGTACAAAATGATAAATAGTTGGAAATTATTACTATGTACAATAGGGTGGTCCTTAATATGGACATTCTCGAATTTTCTTGCTCCCAAAGGCTCAAATGGTTCCAAAATGATAAAAAACAATTCTCTTAAAGTTTTAGCTCTTAATATTGTTTTTTAGATAGTGCGCAATTCAATCAAAGTTTTGTATGGAAATAGCATGAAAAATTTTTCAAAAATTTTAAAAATGTCTTTAGATATAATTTAGCAAAAAAATTGTCGCTAAGTTATACATAAAATTTTTTTTTTTTAATTTTCAAATTTTTTTTCATACAAAGTTTGATTAAATTGCGCACTATTTAAAAGTTAATATTAAGAGCTAAAACTTTCAGAGAATTGCTTTTATCAATTTGGAACCAATTGAGCATTTGGGAGCAAGGAAATTCGAAAATGTCCATATTAAGGACCACCCTAATGTACAAATATGGTCATTTGTATTAATTAGTATTATTGAACTGTGCTTTAGAAATAACACAAAATTATATTGCAGAAAATGTACATATAATTTGACAATATTTTTTAAAAAAAAATTATTTTTATTATATATATTTCAAAAATATTATTTATATTTTTTTATATTTTCTGATTCCACATTGCATAACAAATTTATTTTGTAAAGCTCTAGAAACCTCTTACACCAAATATATAATATTGGCTATGTAATTCTTGATAACTTATGAATTATATTTATGCAAAATAATTAATATTTCTCTGCAGAAAGATAAGATCGTAATCAAATTCAATATAAATTTGAAGCTAATTTTATTATAGCGATAACTATCACAGAATCAAATCAAAGTCCAATTTAAAAAGTTAAGTAAATCTCCAATATGAAGACATCTAAATTATCTTGAGCCATATGTCAAATTACGTCGTTTTTAAAATCCTCCTCCGAGCAAATTTAATAAATCCTGGAGGCTCATATCTGCCAAAAACGGATTTATCAGACCTTTTGCAAGTTTTTCGATTTCTTTCGAAAGTTCGACTTTATGTTTCTCAACTACTTGTGGCAAGGCATCATTTATAAGTGCGTTTATCATGTCACCAAGAACTGGATTTCCCATCAATCCTTCCACATCGAACTGAAATATGTTATCAATATGAATAGTTGTATATAATTATAAACATTACCTATATATGAAAAACTTGATTATGCCGATAAATATTATTAAGAGAATATGAGGATCAAACGTCTTATTCAAACATTTTCTCGGCAAGTAACAAAAGGATCTAATTTACGAATATGCCTGACCCACCTTCATGCTTCCTATAGAAGGCACCAGATTGAATTCGGATATTTCAAGGGTGGATAAACCTTTCAACCATAGTTTGACATGTCCAGCAGCGTTTATATCACGTAACATGATATCAAAGGAGCCTTTGCCAAACAACTTAGCCAAATCTGCCAACTTGCCTTCAATGTCGTATAGACCTAAAAAACAATCAATAGGAAACACGAGACTAAGCTATGTAATTAGTAAATTGAATTATTTGATATTTGATAGAATTGTTACTCATCGGGATGTAATCAATTAGTAAATAGAATATGTATTCTAAATTTTTCTGCATGATCCATCTATACTACAGATATACAAATTTTAATTTATTTTAGCACGATTGCAGTTTCTTCTGCCTTTGCATATTAAACACAATTAATAGTTCTAGAAAATTCGATTTCTTTAGGATATATGTTTTACAATGTTTTAAAGTAGTTAAATAAACTACGATGTAATATATGAAATTTTATCTCAAGATTGAATATCTTGCAAAAAACTTTAAAAAATTGTACACATTGAGTGTAGAGCTATCAATGCTGTAATATGAAATCTTTCTATCAAGATCTTTCTGATAGCTTTTGATTCTTTCAATTTTGTTTTCTTTAAATATGTATGGATACTAATTTTAAAGTGTTATTTGCGATTTAAATTTGTACGTTAAGTGAAATTTTAGTAACTATTTAATTAAATTTTTAATATAATTTGGATTGACTATGACGATTTGGAGATAAGAATTTGATATTATTTTTTGTTTTGTTCCATTGGATAAGAACGTTGTTAGCAAACCATATATTTTGTATAAATATCACAAACGTTTAGAATAATTTATTAATTATTATTAATGTATAAAAATAGAATATTATTTTGAAGTTACCCTTTGCCATGAGGTGGTCAAAAGTGATATTGAAAGTAGCTTTCATGAAGAGCACATTCACTTTTATGTGATTTATGTTGAAACTAGACAAACCCTCTACTGTTACATTGGCAAGAGCTCCGTTTAACCTAAAAGAAAAAATGATATGTAAAGGATCTTAAGATTTGAAATATATTTTTTTTTATCTTACTTGGCAATGTTTGGTAATTCAATGTCAGCATCAACATTTTCAAGGAACCAAGGATCCATAACTTCGCCATTAGTCAAATTACCACCTTCTCTTAAAGTTTTTCTCAGATCTTCAGCAGCTGCTAATAGTTTATTTTCTAATGCCCCTCTGCTCTCGAGTGATTTTAAATCATTAAAACCTATTAAAGTAAAACATAATTAATTATTTTATATTGAATGCATGAATTATTATTTTTTCTGATTAATTTATAAAATCTTTGTCATAAATAAAATCTGAGGCGACATGTTTTTCGCTGTGTTTATATTGACCATGATTGAATGGTTGTATTTTTTAAGCATTTTTAACGTACAACTTTATACATAGTTTAAAATGTTGAGATGCTATTTTTAAAATTACTTTATACTAACTTGACTCAAAACTTTCATCCAATGAGATCGTGTACGAAGACACAACCGCGACCAAAAAGCCAATTGATAAGAGAATGGTTTTCATTTTTCCACCTAAACTAGATTATGATCGTCAGACAAAATGCTTCTGAAAAAAATATTACTACTTACTTTTAGTTTTTAATAATATCACTTTTTTTTCAAATTCTAATATAATGTATTAAAGTTTCGTGCTACGAATATTAAAAAAAAATCATTACAGCTAAATGTCAAATATTTTTCTAGCTTTGTATATTTACAGTTACTTTATTACAAATGTTTTTTCTGTCGAAGTTGCATATTAACACTACATTATGGAAATACCATTTTCTTAAAAATACTCATCTTAGAGACTCGACTTTATTAACATTTTTATAAATGATTTTGCAAATATAATTTATAACGAAATTTTAAAGTATGATAACAAAAATATGTGTGTCTCAAGATACATTCCTAACACTCTACCCATTAAATTTTAGAATACGTACAAAATTTGATCACATTATTAAATAGATATAAAATTAATTTAAAATATTGTTTTGCTAACTAATAAACTATGTTAAAAATACTTTGAAACTCAAATTTAATTTTATGACATTTTTAATATAAAATTTCTTACCTTGTTTAAGCACTTTCTCAACAATGCTAAAGCACTATAACTGCAGAAATTGCATTTAGATTCAATTTATATCATTTGTTTGAAAAAAGTTTTCATTTGAATATATCCTTATCTTTTGAATTAGTTTGATACTTATTAATTTATTGTCGTAATAATATTATAGTCAAGTACCAGTAGCACTTAATGCACGTGACATTTATATATATATATATATATATATATATATATATATGTACAGGAGACCTGTGTTTTGTTAGTTTCATAAATTTTAAACCAGTTGAGATTATCAGGTGAAAAATCATAAAACAATTTTCTGCATATTATTAAAACCAAGATTAAACTTATAACACTGTATTGATTATTTCTTCACATGATATTGTAAAAAGACAAAAAATATGGTAATATGAAATATTTATAACTATATAATGATTTATTTGTATATGAAATATTTTCAAAAATTATTTTTTAATTTAAATGAATGAGACACCAATTTTCCCTATATTCTTAAATTGAAGTATATTACATGTTGCTTTTATCGATTCAGATATTTAATATAATAGTAAGAACAACACACTTGATATCTCTTAAGTTAATATAAATATGTAGTACATACTTTAGATTAAAAATAAATTTATTTACGCAAATTGCAGCTCACAAATTCAATAATAAATAAATGCAAATCTAACTATTGAAAATACATCATTTTTTAAACAGTTCAGTGTCAAGTTGTGATAATTGTATTTTCTATTATTATATTTTGATCAATAATTATTGATTTAATAATGCTACAGAATTAATTCAAATGGTTCCTGAAATCCTTCAGAGGCGTTCAATACAGGTGTCTCGAATAGATAGGAAATCCTATTGTTTGCATAATGATGTCCTGTGTTATCTTAACGCCAGAGGGATGTTGCAGAACCCTTATTCAAAGGTTTAGCAGGGTTCGTCGTAGGGTTTATTTTCAACTTCGTTTATGATCAAATGTATGTATACCTAACTAATTTCTGTTCTAGAATTAATGTTATCTGACCGCTCAGAACTTCTAGCGTTGCGTTATAGAGAATTATCAGCTTTAATTGGTGAGATATTTATGAAATAGTTTCCATAAATAATGGATTAATATTTAGAAATAACACGCTGATAAAAAATTATCAGTGAGGAATTGGAGTTTTATGAAGTTAATTAAAATTGATCATTGTTGATGAAAATTTAAATATTGAGTAATGTTATATGTAAAAATAGAGAAATATTTTTTTAACTTAAAAATGTAATGCGTAGTAACTATAAAAGGAACTAGCGTTAATTACCATGAATTTATTTTGTTAAAACCAAATGCAAAAATACATTTTTGCACTTGTAGATTTTATTGCTATTATATCATATTTCCTATATTTTCATAAGTGTTTGATTTATTAATTTGTTTTATAATAAGATGAAATACGTAATATAGAATTATTTAAAAAATGCTAAAATATGCACAATTTTTCAACGAGCCCCGTGTTTCCATTATCAATGTAGTTTAGCGCCAGTTGACTTTGCAGAATTTTAATCGTTCGCGTTACCATTTTAACGGCTCTAATAATTCGAGAACGTCGAGTGGCCATATTTTGTTCACATCATACATTAAACTGGAAAGGAAATTAATTCCATCATTATTATTCGTTGAAAATTCCGCGCGCACTCACAATGCAACTATAAATCTTTGCGGCCGTAACGAATGTTTCATTAAATTCAATCCTCGTCTCCACCCACCTTCGAACGTCCCTCAACTCGAAAAGTACCTACATTGCGCCCATATATCTTTCAACTAGCACTTTCTGAAAGTAAGGACTATTACTCACTGGATCAACGACACAATCGATGAAAATTTGATATTTAAGATCTCGAAAAACGATCATAATTTGCTCCAGAACCACTCAAATATAATAGACCTATTTACAGTGACCGATATCGAAGGTATTGTAGAAAAAGTAAAAAAAAAAAATAATAATAAAGTGAAAGGTTAAATAATATAAATTTTCTAAATGTTAACACTTTCTTATGTTTCCAATATTTTTAGTACATTTTATTCAATGCAAAATATGTTCCTTAAATTTGCACCTTTGCTTTCTTTGGAATTTACTCCACCTGAACCTGAACATAGTTTCTCAGACATCTTTAAAAAATTGGTATGCTTGTTTTTTTGCAAACTTCTTGTTGTTTGTAATATTCAATCAGCAAAAGTTTAAAAGAAATGGTAAACGATATGTTATATTTATTTATATAACTACTGTTTTATTATTTTCTTGTTTATGTTTAAAATTAATCTCTATGTTTATAAAATGTGATTAAATCTCATTAAAAAAGATGAAGATCTTATTATTTTGTTCAATAATGCAATATCTTTAAAAATGGCAGCGTATGAAACAATTAATTGAATTGTAACAATTTTATGTGACAGATAATTTAGACACTATTATACTAATGGCGAAATGTGAATGTGTGCTTAAATTTAAAGTTTGATTGGTTATGTTCCAACTAAAATATCGTGGTTTTTCTTCTCTAGGTTACTAAATTTTCAATAATATTTCAAATTTTTTATATTTGTTTCCAATTAGTTGCTCGTGTGCAAGTGCCTATATTTTCCTATGAACCCTCTTATAAAGGGAGGTACGCGGAATATACTGTTTTCCAATGATGTTCTATTTTCGAGCGGCTATGATGAATTGCTTGTTTATATACCAACACCTCTTGTTGTTTGTAATATTCAATCAGCAAAAGTTTAAAAGAAATGGTAAACGATATGTTATATTTTATTTATATAACTACTGTTTTATTATTTCTTGTTTTATGTTTTAAAATAATCTCTATGTTTTATAAATGTGATTAAATCTCATTAAAAAAGATGAAGATCTTATTATTTTGTTCAATAATGCAATATCTTTAAAAATGGCAGCGTATGAAACAATTAATTGAATTGTAACAATTTTATGTGACAGATAATTTAGACACTATTATACTAATGGCGAAATGTGAATGTGTGCTTAAATTTAAAGTTTGATTGGTTATGTTCCAACTAAAATATCGTGGTTTTTCTTCTCTAGGTTACTAAATTTTCAATAATATTTCAAATTTTTATATTTGTTTCCAATTAGTTGCTCGTGTGCAAGTGCCTACATTTTCCTATGAACACCTCTTATAAAGGGAGGTACGCGGAATATACTGTTTTCCAATGATCTATTTTTCGAGCGGCTATGATGAATTGCTTGTTTATATACCATTGATACCGCAATACATAAAATCGAAATAAGCAAAGAGATATATCCCACTCTTTCGTACAGTTGCGCAAAAAATATGCAAAGAGCCACCCTCATTCCTCCCTTATGATATCGTGGGGAACGGGATAGGTTAACGGCGAGGGTAACATAACAACGGCCGCTATCATTTGTGCTGGGCACAAGGTGAAAAAGAATAGTCGATATTAAATAGGTATATAATGGAACGAAATGTTTCCAATATCATTTATGGGCCGATTATGCCATATAACTAGTGGGGTGTATGGCATCGTGCCTTAAGGCAAATTGCTGGAACTTCCCGTACAGAACGAAATGTTCGAGGAATACTGAATGTTTTCAAATAGATTATTATAAATATTGTAACATTGTCTAATATTTATAAGAATTATATAAACTGAATTGCAAAGTTAAAATTATTTGTTTAGGTTATATTAGAACTTTAGTCAGAATAAAAATAAAATCTGAATTATTTTCGATATACAAAAAAAAAAACTAAAAAAAAAATTATATAAATTTTTTTTCCAAAATCAATTATTTTGTTAGGTTATTTGAGGGGGTTCAAAAGTTATTTGAATCATTTAAATCGGACGCTTAGTTCTCTCAAACACTGCCATTTTTTACATATTTAGCTCCATATCTTCGAAATGGCTGGCCTGTCTTTGCCAAAAACTAATAAACACTTCTCCCAATTATTACTAATTGAATGTTTTTTAGATCATTCAAATCGAATACTCCGTTCTCTCAAAAAGACGATTTCTATTTTCTGCACTCTCTGCTCCGTATCTCCAAAACGGCTGGACCTGCCTTTGCCAAAAACTAATCAGCTTTTTTCCCTATCAATAGGAATCGAATGTTCAAATCGGTTGATCCGTTCGCCCAAAAACGTGACTGGAAATTTGTATCCATACATACATACACACACACACACACATCCATTTTTTTTTAAGTATGCCAATACGTTCAGAAACCTTCAAAACGTCGAGAAATGTAAAAATTTTCAATTTCGATTTTCGGCCCATTACAATAACTTACCCTACGGGAAGTTAATAAATGAATGTTATGGCAAGGCTATGTTATCTCTCTGTTTTCATACAAAATGCTACAAAACACTGTCAAAATGTCATGTTTTTGCTGTGTGATCACCAAAAAAAAATAACTTGTCTGTATTAGGTATGGGACATATGTTTTCCAATGTATTTTTTACCGCTAAAGACA